GGAGATCATCCAGGATATCAGAAACTGGGGATGTGAGGAAGAGATTTAGGGAAACCATGAGCGCTGTCTCCAAATATGAAGGCCTGTTGTGGGGGGAAGGGATTAACTTTGTTCTGCTTGACCACAGAGGGCAGAACGAGGAGCAAGGTGGAATTTGTAGAGTGGGTCCCTGCTCGGTGCCTGGGCGGGGGTTGGGGGGGGTAGACGACGACAAATTTGTCCCAGAGTTGAACACATTGCTGTGGGAGGAGTAAGTTCACCCCTAGAGGTTTCCATGTGGAAGCTGGATGACTGACCACCTACAGAGAGAGGATTCCTGTGATAAACAGTTTGGTTGCTGAGGTCCCTTCCAAAGCTGAGATGCTGTGAATTTGGTGAGCTCACACAGTCTGCCCTAGTGGAGACTGTCGTGTCATGAGAAGCAGTTACTGAGTCTGACTGTGGGAAGGGTCCCCCCACAAGCTAGCCCCCTGCTGCGTAGAGCAGCTGGGCCTGGCCGTAGAAGTGGTGAGCAATGTTAGGGCTGGGGACACTCGCCTGAGGAACATAATTCTCTCTGATTATCAAACCCATTCATCATCCCTCTACAAGGGACATCCAGATAAAGTGCCCATAAATTAGAAAGTGTTAAGGTGATTTGGGGGGCCATGAGCCTTGGGTTATAAAAAATTCTTCTTTTGGTGACTAGTCTGGGATCAGGGATCTGTTGCTACCCTCTCTCTTTCTCTCCCTTCACCCCTGTCTCTGGCAGTACCCCCACCCCACTCTCTCTCTCTCTCTCTCTCTCTCTCTCTCTCTCTCTCTCTCTCTCTCTCTCTCACACACACACACACACACACACACACACACACACACACACACTGACCCTTCCCTGACTGGGTGCCTTTCTCTGAACCAGTATCAAGCCCAAAGCATTATGGGAGATGTAGTCCTGGATGTGTACATAACTGGATTTCCCAGGATAAACCTCTCTTTGTCTTGCACCAGCCTTGTGAGGGCAGGTGAAGAAATAACTGTATTAAGAGCTAATTTCCAAGCCCTCCCCTGCAGGTGAGGGTGGGAGGGCAAGGGCAGTGTGAGGGATCAAGTGTATGGAGCCCACTGTAGCATCTCCCCCATCCCTCCAGTCTTCTCACAAGTGGGCAGTATGGCAAGTAAGGCCAAGAGACCACGAGACAGAAGAAGAAGATTTGGGTTGAAGTCCTTGCTATAAGCAATGAGGCCTCCACCAAGGCTCTCTCCACCTTGAAGTCACAGCTTCTTCCTTTATAAAAGGGTATAGATAATCCCTACACTGGGCGGCTGGGTGGCTGCAGTAGATAGAGCACCAGGCCTGGAATCAGGAAGACGTGAGTTCAAATCAGATACTAGCTGGGTGATCCTGGGCAAGTCACTTTACCCTCAGTTCCTCATCTAGAAAATGAGCTGGAGAAGACAATGGCAAACCACTGTAGTATCTCTGCCAAGAAAACCCCAAATGTGGTCATGAAGAGTCAGACAGGACTGAACAACAATAAAAATCCCTACACCCCTTGCCTGACTCAGTGGTTTATAAGTAAGGTATATGATATACTTTCAAGTATTGGAGAGCTGACCACTAGTAATAATGTTAGCATTCCCTGAGGCTTCTTCATAGATGGTCCCCATGTAGCAAAAATCAATGGCTTTAGCCCATTTAGCCATTCCCTGGGGGAGTGGGGTTCTTGGGGGGTAGGGTGGGATACAACCAGCCACAAAGAACAGTCAGGAACCAGAGCCAGGGAACCACTCACCCTTCCCCAAACTGCTTCCCTTCCTCTCCTCTCTTCATTTCTGGGAGTACTGTCCCTACATCATTCTCAGGAGGGGATTCTGGGTTGTTGATCTGAGTATTTTTTTTTTCCTGAAAGAAGGGAGAAATAGGGTAAAGCGTGGAATATGAAACTGACAGAGACAATGTGGTTTAGAGGAATGGATGCTGGATATGGTTGCAAGTGATGACCATTCTGGTTTACCTCTGTTACTAACCAGCCATGTGGTCTTGAGTAAGTCACTCCTCTCTGGTTCTTCAGTTGCCTTCTTTGTAAAGTAGGGATAACAGTACCTGCCCTCCAGGGTGGTGAGGCATAGCAGCTATCAGGAACATGGCTCTTGGGATCTGTGGCTTCTCCTGGCTTACCAGTAAGGTCAATAGGAGGCAAAACCAGGTTGTTACCCATAGAGAGCAAGGCCTTCATCCCAGGTGAAGACAAAGAAACCGGTCTGTGGTTGTAGCCATCTAGTCCCAGGCTAGACAATGGGAGGAATTTTCAGACCCTTAGCGTTTTGAGACACTGGGTACACGAGGAATATACTATTGATCTTCCTTTCTCTGGGAAACTTCCACCTTGTCTGAGATGAAAGCTTAAGCAGGAAGGACTGGCCTGGAAGTAGTCATGGCCCTTACCCAGAGGCCAGCTGGGAAAACTGAATGCAGCTGCAGATCCTCTAGAAAGCATTTTGCAAGAAGGAAGTTTCCTCCCGGCGTATGGAGAAAATGCTAGGCCGTGGACTAGGCTTTATCTCTGGAAGCAGAGCTGGGCCACACTGCATCACCCAGGATGGTTTCTGTGTGGGCAGAGACCTGACCTAATGGACCTGGGACCATGGGGCGATCTACCTGGTGTTCCAAAATTCACAGGAAGCCAGATCTGAGAGGCACCTGAGGACAGAGACTATAAGAGATGGTAAAAATCCATCTGGATACAGAACACAGAACATCAGAGATGAAAGGGATCTTAGAAGAGATACAGTCAGAGCGAAGAGATTCCTTGTGAAAAGAGTGCCAGACTTAGAATCAAGAAGACCTGAATTCAGTCCTGCCTTAGACACTTACTGTGTGACCCTGAGCAAGACATTTAACCTGTGTCAGCCTTAGTTTCCTCAAATGTAAAACGGGATATGTGTGTGTGTGTGTGTGTGTATGTGTGTGTATGTATGTATATGTGTGTATCTCAGCTACTTTACAGTGTCATCGTGAGGATTACATGAGATAAAGTATGTAAACTGCTTTGCAAACCTCTAAGACGTGTATAAATATCAGTCATTATGTTAGGGTCATCTAGGCCAGTTCTAGCCTTTTGCAGAGAGGAAAGGGCATTGTGGTGCAGTGGGAAGGAAAGTGACTTTAGAGTCAGGAGACCTGAGTTCAAATCCCAGCTCTGGGTACTTGTTACTTCCATGACCTTGAGGTCATTAACTTTAGGGGGCCTCAGTTTCCTCACCTGTAAAATGAGGATCTTAGGTTTTTAAGGTCCCTTCCAGTTCTACATCTATAGCTTGGCACTGGGTGGCCATCAAGGTCCCTTCCAACTCCAAAATTCTGTGATTCTTTGAAAGTCCCACAGCTAGTTAGTAGTAGAACCCAAACGAGTTGGACTCTGAATCCAGGGATCTTTTTACTACTGAATGGAAAATGAAGAAGCCCTACAGTGACTAAAATAAAGTCTATCTTGATTCCTTTAACTGTTGTTCTTCCTCACTTATTGTCCTGCCCCAGCCTCCCCTTCCTTCTGTTAGCCCCTCCTTGGGACATTCCAGGCCACTGACTCACTGGGGTCTTGTGGTCCGCTCTGACCCCAGAGCTTCCCCCCCGGGACTTTTTCCCTGCCTTTGTTTTGTTCTTATTCTTGGACTAGACTGCCTTCCGTTCCCAGCACTGAGCCAGGCCCCTTAATGCTCTCCTTCCCGATGAGGCACACTGAGTTTCCCATTGTGTTCCCCCCCACACCTCTCCTTACTCAGGCTGGCTTACAATCATAGCCAGAGAACCTAGACTGTCAGAGCTGGAAGGCATATTATAGACACATGAATGATTACAGATTTTGAGCTGCAAGGGATCTTGGAGGTTATCTACTCTACCCTCATTTTACAGATGAGGAAGCTAAATAAAGCTCAGAGGTAACTTGTCTTCGGAATATAGCAGTAAGTAGTCTGTCTTCTGGCTCCAAATCTAATTCAAGCCCCCTTGTTTTTGCAGAGGATGAAACTGAGGGACAGTGACTTGTCCAAGGTAACAACAAATTAGGCTTTTCTTAGCACTAAAGGGGTAACTGTCCTGGCACCCTGTCTCTCTCCCAGCCTTCTCCTCCCCAACTCTAGTACCATTTATATACTTGGGGGATGTTCTGGTAGAATTGCTGAGTTGGTGAATGGTTTAGCCTGGGAAAGGAATAAGGAGAGTGCAGAGAGAGAGTTAATAAGGGACCAGGTCCCACTTGTCTTGTCCAAATCCTTACAACCCAATGAATGGCCTGAAGGTGGGAGGATTGGAGGCCCTGGAGCCCCCTACAAAGCTCCTCCCCAAGGCCAGAGGAATTCTAAGGAGTTGAACGGGTCCGTGAGAGTGGGGAGGAAGGAAAAAGTGGAGTGGAACTCACGACACTGGATGGGAAGGAACAAGGAAATGGGTGAGACAGGAGCCGCTACCTCAGAGTAAGAGGCTGAAGGGTCAAGCCCCGCCTCCTCATTCATTTGTACATTCATTTGTTTATTTATCAAGCAATGCTAAGCACTTTCCTGGGCAGTAAAGAAGCAAAGGTCTGAAGAAAAAGTCCTTGTCCTTTCTGGACTCCCCCAGCCCTCAGGGATGCCTTCTCTCTTCCTCCACCCCCTGCTCTCTGGGCCCCAAAATCATAAGAACTACAATAGCTCAAATTTCTCTAGTACTTTAGAATTTTTAAAGTTCCTTAAAGTAACACAACCTGTAGGTAATGTGAGAATTGTCATCCCAGTTTTACAGATGAGGAAGCTGAGGCCCAGAGAAGTGAACTAACTTAAATAATGACCCCCTAATTTTATAGGATATGAAGGTCAGTAACGTGTTCCATAAATGCCACAGTAAAGTCAGTCAATAGTGAGGGGACTCTTAGCTGCTTTTGATGGATGAAAAACTAGAGCCCAGAAAGGGGAAGTAATTTGTCCAAATCTGACAGCTAGGAAATAGTGGGGTGAAGACTTCATCGAGGTTCTCTTGACTGCAGGCCCAGGATTCTTTCCACAGCACCACCAGGCCTCTCTCCAGACCTGGCAGGACTCAACAGTTCCTTGGTTTCTGTGTGGCTGTTACTAACCCTAGTGGCCTGAGGTGAGGAACATCCCTATGGACAAACAGTAACTAGATTAGATCAGGGACCCCCAACTTCCTTAGGCCCCAAACCCCTTAGCTTTCATTATTTCATTATTGCCATAACACCTATTCAATATAAGGAAATATATTCTAGACTAGAGTTCTTAACCTTTTGTGTTGCACAGACCACTATGACGATCTGAAGCCTATGAACTCAGAATAATTTTTTTTGGTTTTTTTTGTTTGTTAAATTTATAATGAAAGGAAATGCTAAATTTCATTTTGAGGCTGATGAAAATTAAGATGCAATCCCCTCCACCCGTATTAGTTCACAGACCTACTGAAATATATTCATTGACCCCTTATGGGCCTGAGGAGGGCCCCAAGTTAAGACCTTCTAGAGTTTGCTGTGCATATACATGTAAGAAATAAGATAAATAATAATAGCTGTCAAGTATATAGTGCTTTCAGGCAGCTACATGGCTCAGAGGATAGAGTGCAGGGCTGGGAATCAAGAAGATCAGAGTTCAAATATGATCTCAGACACTTACTAGCTGTGTGACCCTGGGCAAGTCACTTAACCTCTGTTTGCCTTAATCCACCTGAGAAGGAAATGGCAAACCACTTCAGAATCATTACTAAGAAAATCCCATGGACACTATTGGTGTGCAGTGGTCCATAGGGTCACAAAGAGTTAGTCACAGCTAACAGCAATATAATGCTTTAAGGTTTGCAAAGTTCTTTACATATGCTATTTTATTTAATCATCGCAATGACCCTATGAGGTAGAAGCTATTATTCCCCATTTTACAGATGAAGAAACTGAGACTGAGACAGATTAAGTGATTTAAAGTGCCCAGGGTCACACAGAAAGCAAGTATCTGAGGCAAGACTAGAACCCAGGTCTTCCTGACTCCCAAGTCCAAGTATACTCTTCACTAAACCACATAGCTACCTGAGGAGATTAATTTTTCATGAAGAAAACTTTATTAGGTACATAACATTTTCCCCACAAACTACTATTTTCAGGTATTTTAATAGGATAATATAGTTATTTACCAAGTATTTCCTATACCCCTTTAACAAACTTCTTGTACCCCTGGGGAAATGTGTATTCCAGATTTGGAACCTTTGAACTAGATGGTGTCAGCCCTGTGAACCAGCTGAGGAAGAGATTCAGGTAGGATGAATGGTTTGTAAGGTCCTTAGGATTCCCTTCCAATCACTCCTCACACTTTGAGCCTGATGGCATAGAGAGATGTGCTGCTAGTGCAATTGTCTGAACCATGCGGGTCCCTCCTTCCCCTTCCTCCCAGCTCAAAGGGGGCCAGCCTCCAAGGTAAAATTTCCCCTTAAGGTGTCCTGTAAACAGACTTCATTTGCTCTACCAAATACCATACACTCCTTCATCTTTCCTGTGTTACATAAGTCCATGGCTTCTACATTGTGACATCACCACCTCAGCCTCCTGCTTCCCTTAAGCCATCTGCCTCCACCCCTACTCTCAATCCCTTGTCTCCCCTGGGGCTCAACCTTAGTCCCTTAGCCCTAGTCCCCTGACTCTTCTGGGCCCAGAGTCCCCCAACCTTCAACTCCCAGAGAGCTATGAGTCCCCCAGCTGGGGCTGCTTACCCCCCCTTAATTACATGCTCGGTGTAAATGACACTTTAATTTCCTTTAAACGATTCACTGATAACGAGGACTCAGTGTCTCAGTGTCTCCCTCTCTCTCTCTTCCCCTTTTTCCTAATTACAAGTCATTGCTGCTTCTAGATTTTCTCCCTGACGACCCAATTTCCAAACAGTGAAAGGCAGTAATTAAAATTAATTAGCCAGAGAGCTAGCTGACGATAGTGAGCCCCAGGACTCCAGGAGAAGGCCCTAGGCTTTAGGCCTTGGCCCCAAACCTGGTTCCCCCAGGCCTGCCTCCTCTTCTCTGTACCCTGGCCCCCTGGCCGCTGTGCCTTCCCAGCCTAACAAACCCTGGAGTTCTCATGTCAAGGGATCCCCATCCTCAACTGCACATACACACACTAGTGAAGCTGGCTAGCACTGTGGGCTGGGAGTCAGGAGACCATCCTTCTAGTCCCAGTATGGCCATTGACATTGACTAACTCACCCTCCCTGTCTTTGGCTCTCAGCAGGGTTATTAATGCCTGCCTTACTGGGCTGATATGAGGATCTTATGAGATAATGAATGTGAAAGTGATTTGGAAATTCATAGAAATAAGACTGAACAAATTGAAATTATTGCTAATAATAATAATACCTTCGTAATCCCTGATGTTTCTAAAAACCGATCTACAGAGTACGAAGGAGGCTTTTGAATTCACCTCCCCATGTCACAACAACCCTGTAGGCAGAATGGGAGTTATTATATCCATTTTACTGGTGGAGAAATTGAAGCCTAGAAAAGTCACGGGATCATAGATATTGAGCTGGAAGGAACCTTAGAAATTATTGAGTCCAACTCTCTCATTTTACAAGTGGGGAAACTGAGGCCCATGGAAGTTAAATGATTTGCCCAAAGTCCTACTGGTAGGACCTGGCAAATCTAGGATTTGAACTCAGGTGCTATGACTCCAGATTCAGCCCTCCTCAGCAGTGGACTTCCATCCATGCTATCAGTTGACTCAGGCCTGAAGTCACAGAGCTTCAGACAGTGGTGGAAACTGTAACTGTAGAGCATAAAATGTCAGAGCTGGAAGGGCCTTTAGAGATCGCCTAGTCCTCATTTTGTAGAAAAGTGAGGCCCAGGAAGGGTCAAGGACTTGCCTTGGACTCAGTGACTTGTCCAGGGTCACACAGATAGTAAGGAGCAGAGGCAGATCATCTAGTCAGTGCATACCTAGGACCATAACCAGATCTCCTGCCAATTCACGGTTCTTTGCACTACCTCCCATCACCTTATATTAAGACTACTTGTTGCTGTTGTCAGCAATCTGTCATCTCTCCTTTCCTCCCTCCAGTGAATGAATCCAGCCTCACTGGATCCTAGGGATAGCTTCCTCATTTACCAGTCCTCATTGACACTGAATTCTCTTTGCCAAGTTCCTAGACAGACTGAGAACCAGGTGAGGCAGAAGCAGCTGTGAGCAGAGCCTGGTCATCCGATCCCCCTATGGAGCAAAAGACTCTGAGATCAATTCTTCCCAGCTATGCGTTCATTCCTGGTGGGTGAGTCTTAGTAAGAGGCCCTGGTTACCCAAAGCACAGCTTGGGGATATTGAGATCCCCAAGATGGCTCAGGGTCTTCCCTTTTCCCTCATCTGTCATCAGGAATGTGAAACACAGAATTTCAGTGCTGGCATTGAATCATCTAGTCCAGAATTCTCTTTTTACAAGATAAGGAAGCTGAGACACAGGATACTCCCACAGTTGCACAGTGACTCAGTGACCAAGCCAGAGTTAGAACTAGAATCCAGGCCTTCTGACTCCCAGGGCTCTGTCCATTCTATCATGATGCCTCTTTATGGAGGTGGAGCTGGGAACAGCTAAGGCCCCTCTGGCTCCGGGCCCAGCCCTTCTGGGTGGTCGACTGCCAGAAGGGGCATCACCAAAGCCATTCCTCTGCCTCCAGGCATGCCGACCCACAATGACCCCACATCCTGTTCCCAAGCCTGCAGACCCCACTACTACCCCCATGGCAACAGGGAGGAGATGAGGTGGTGGGTGGGCAGAGATCTGTGGAGGGGGAAGGAAAAGCCTGGAACTCTAAGGCTAGGGGGAAGGTTTGGTTCTTTGTGAAGCAGGGGAGGGACAGGGAATTCTACCTATGATATGGATAAGGGGATATGGATAAGGGTCATGAGCATTTGAGCGCGTGTACATGCATGTGTGTGTGTGTGTGTGTGTGTGTGTGTGTGTGTGTGTGTATGGGGAGAGCAAAAAGGGCAATAGAACGGGCTTTTGTTTGAGAAATTTATGTAACTTTATTATATGTGAAAATGTATGATGACATCAGATTGTTGCTTGTGGCTTGTGTGCAGGGTGTATCATTGACATCTCTATTGTGTGGATGTGCAGGTGGAATGAGATGACATGGATACAGCCCTAGGCTTGGAATCAGCAGGAGCTGGGTTTGAATCTTGCTTCTGGTACTGACTAGCTGTGGGACCTCTAGACAAGTCACTTCCACTCTCTCAATCTCAGTTACCTAATGTATAAAATGGGAGGAGTGGCAGCTAGGTGGTGCAGTGGATAGAGCTCTGGCCTTGGAGTCAGGAGGACCTCAGTTCGAATCTGGTCTCAAACACTTGACACTTACTAGCGGTGTGACCCTAGGCAAGTCACTTAATCCCGATTGCCTCACCAAAAAGCTTTAAAAAAAAAGTGGGGGGGAGGGTTGCATTCAATACTGAATTTAATTTAAATGCTTCCTTTCAGCTCAGAATCTATGCTCTCGTGCACTCTATATTTGTTCAATACTTGCACCCACAGTTGGTGTACATTGTGAATATGAGAGGTACCTTTGTGATGGCTACCCTTTGTAAGGGTGTGCCTGGTATTTGTAAAAATAATAGTAATATCTAACATAAGCACTGTAAAATCATCATCTCATTTGATCCTCACAACCCTGAGAAGTAGGTGCTATTATTATCCTATTTTACAGATGAAGAAACTGAGGCAAACAGGGGTTAAGTGACTTGTCCAGGGTCACACAGCTTGTAAGTATCAGAAGCTGAATTTGAATTCAGGTCTTCCTGACTCCAGGCCTGGTGCCCTATCCACTGTGCCACCTAGGTATTCTGTGTGTGTGTGTGTGTGTGTGTGTGTGTGTGTGTGTGTGTATACACACATGTATATGTAGTACGTGCCTGTGGGCCTACATACAAGCAATTGATGTTTGTTGTATATGTCTGCACATACCATTGGTATGTTTGTGTGTCCTGCCTACCCGTTTGTTCAATATCTGCTGGTTTTTTTATGCATACAATTGATGTTCATGGTGCATGTATTTACACAAACATTGGGATGGTATATGTACAACATACACTATCTGTATGTGATGGGGATGTGCAGTGGGGAGGCGGCAAATCCCCTAAATCAGAGAGTGCCCAACAGCTCCTCCAGACACATTGCCTAGGACAGCTCCTTCCCCTCCCTTGCCTCCCGTCTCTGCTCCCAAAGGCTTTTGGATGAGGAACAGCTGAGACCAGTTACCCAGGGCTCTCATCCACCTGTTTCTTGTAGGAAGTGGAATCCCCTCAGCCCCCTTCCCCGCTTAGGACTTATCCCTTCCTGCCTAGGAATCGGGATCTAGGAAGGCACCACTTTCCCCAGGCAGAAGCTATGGTCAGTTATTGACCATCTCTCAGCTATGTTAGAAATGGGAAGGCCAGACCCTACCCCACCCCAGAAGCCTGGGCAGTTCCCAGGCTAGCTGGGGAGTTAGCAGGCACACCTAAAACAGAGAGAAATAGAGAAAGAAAGAGACAGAGAGAGAAAGAGAGAGAGAACAATAGTTCAGGACAAGATAGCAAGCTTGAGACCTTAGGTTGAAAATGTGGCATCATTTAGGGCAAAAGCCCCCCTTAGTCACTCCACCAGCCAGGCCTTTTCATGGATGGTGGGGCACATCAGCGCTCTGTGAAGTCCTCTCTCCCTTCCCCATTCCTCTCTCCCTGAGGAATCTTCATAAGTAGATATGGGGAGACTAGCCAAAGTTCTGCCTGACTGAAAGGAGGGTCATAGACAATAGTTTGCTAGACTTTTAAGAGGCCTGCATTGGGAATCAGAAGAACTGGGGACTGGCTTCTATGAATAGGTTCCCATATAATCGGAGCTGGAAAGGGTCTCATCAAGTCCTCTGGTTTTTCATATAAGGAGACTGAGGCCCAGTGAAATCAAGTACTTCCCCTACATCATATGGCAAGTAAGTGTCAGTCTGAAGTCAAACCCAGGACTCCTGACTCCAAGTCTAGAGCTCTTTGCACTATACCAACACCACGTCTAACCTTGTCTGACATTATATGAGCTTAGACAAGGCCCTTTTCCTCTCCAGATCTCAGTTCCCCATCTGGAGAATAAAGGGAATGGGTTAAATCAATGGCCCTCAGCCTTATTAAGTATAGGTACCCCCCTTTTGACCTAATTGAATCAGTGCTGAGGAAATCATGCTAGCTGTGAAGTCAGAAGACTGAGATTAAAATCTCAGCTCTAACACTACTCATGTGATCATGGGCAATCCACCTTAATTCTCTGGGCCTCAGTTTCCTTATCTGTAAAATAAGGATGTTGGACCACAAAAATGGCACACACAAACTCGGGAGTACCAGTTGTGCCATCAATATCCATTGGTTGAATAAAACACACACATGCACACACATTAACAAATTGTTAGTACTTGGGGGCACATAGGGATTTTGCTGAAACCCTTTGCTGAAGGTTTTGATTTTGTTTTTGTTTTTTTAGTGGTACCCAGAAAGTCCTTTTTTTTTTTTTGGCTAGGCAGTGGTGTTAAGTGACTTGCCCAGGGTCACACTGCTAGTAAGTGTTATGTGTCTGAAACAGGATTTGAACTCAGGTCCTCCTGAATCCAGGGCCGGTGCCCTATCTACTGCACCACCTAGCTGTCCCCCCCTGAAAGTTTTTATTGGGGGAAGAAGGAAGGAAGGAAGGAAAGATTTATTAAGCACCTATTATGTGCCAGGAACTACGTTAAAAGCTTTACAGATATCTCATTTTTATCATCACAGCAACCCTGAGAGTTATACGCTATTATTATCCCCATTTTACAATTAAGGAAATGGAGGCAGATGGAGTTAAATGACTTGTCCAAGGTCACACAGCTCCTGGTAGTATCTCTGGGGTCTCCCCAGGGGTCTATAGCTTAAAGTTTGGGAACCCCTATACTATAAACCTTTATGTCCTCTCATCTCTGTCATTCTATTTTCCCAGTCCCCTTCTGATCCGGTTACTCTGTTTTAAGGTTCTCCCAACTCTAACGTTCAGTCTTCTTGGGGCCCCTGGCCCTTTGACTCTGCGTTCCATCTTGTAGTACCTTGTCAGCTTTCTTATAGGCTGTGTTCTGTGTGCCCTGTCATGGCTGGAAAGGATCTATTGCTACAATGTTGCAGTTAATTGTGTATTGTAGCAAATATCTCTTCTTCTTATGTTTCCTCTGCTACAGTTTCCCAATGAAATGTAGCATTGTAGCTATTTGCTCACTCTGGATACATTGAACCTGAGCCTACTGGCTCTGCGTGGTTTCTGATTCCCCTTAGCTGGCTGACTGGTTCTGGGAACTTGGGTGAGTCCCTTCCCCTTAATGGACCTGAGTTGTCCTGCCTGTAAAATGGGTTGGACCAGATTCAATTAGATTCAATTCAATCCACGTATTTATTAATCTACTATTGTGCCAGGCACTGAGATACAAAGACAAAACCAAAATAGACTTTGCCCTCCAAGTTCTGCTGTGGGGGAGCAAAGACATGCCCCAAAATAAGTAAAAAGAAAATAAATATACAGTGGGGTGGGGAGGCCTCACTATACATGGAGAGTGTCCTAAGAGTATCAGAGGCGCTGGTTAGAGATGGCACCTGAGCTGAGCCTTGAAAGGAATGAGGGGTTCTAAGAGGTAGAGGTACAGTGCAGTTGTTCAGCCTTGTGTAACTCTTCATGACGCCATTTGGGATTTTCTTGGCAAAGATCCTGAAATTGGTTTGCCATTTCCTTCTCCAGCTCATTTTACAGATGAGGAAACTGAGGCAGGCAGGGTTAAGTGACTTGCCGAGGGTTAGCCAGCTAGTAAGCGTCTGAGGCCAGATTTTAACTCATGAAGAGGAGTCTTCCTGACTCCAGGCCTGGTGTTCTAACTACTGCACCAAGCATGAGGGACAGTCTTTGCAAAGATTCAGAGATAGTAGGTAATGCTGTATGGGAGGAACAGTAAGTAGGATTGTTTGGTTGGAGGGTAGATGATTTCTAAGAACTTTTCCTGCTATGTGAATCTGCAGCATCTGGGACAAGGGTTGTTGCTCCTGGGAAGCTGACTGTACTTTGGGAAGGAGGTGACAAGATAGAGTTAGGGGAAAGTGGCAGATAAGCTAGGGCTAGCTTGGGACCCCCAACCCCCTTCATCTGGGACCTTTGGAGGCCAAGCTGCCTAGCACTTGGAGGAAGGCTGGGAGCCTTCAGTGAGTAATGGATGAGCCAGGAGGCCTCATCAAGCACCCATAGTTAATTAGTGTCCCCAGGAAACACTGTGGCAGGTAATTGATATCTGGCACGAGCCACTGCCGGCCGATGTAGGCAGGCTCTGGGATGGCTTGAGGCCCCGAGTAAGGGAGACATGCATCAGGGCTCCAAGCACCGTAGCAACAGGGAGGTCAGCTAAGCTGGGGCTAGGCCTTTTCCCAGAACTGCTCTGGCCTTTCCCTCCTCAAGTCCCACTCCCCTGGCAAAGGGCCCTCTGCCCTCATATAGATGTGTCTACAGATACACTGTATGCAGTGCCCAAAGCACAATTTGGCATTAGAGGAACTGAGGATGAATCCTGGTTCTGCTGGTTATTACCTGTGGGGCCTCAGCTCAGTTATCACATATCTCTGAGCCTCAGTTTCTTCATCTGTAAACAGAAGGGGTTGGATTAGGTGATCTCAAGGGCGCTTCTCGATCTAAATTACAGATCCTTTATATGAAAACACATACACATATATATATATACACATGTATATGCATGTATATATATACATACATATACTCACCTTTCATGATCAAACATTATATACACACAGAGACACATACCAACTCTCTCTTCCTCCCTCCCTCCCTTTGAATCCCCCTACCCAGTGGTCTAGGCCCCACGGACTACCAGGTGCCCAGACCTGTCTCCGGCCTGGCAGGTGGTGAGGCCTGAGTTTCCGGAGCCAAGCGGGCGCCGGGCAGCTGCAATCAGATGCCTCGGATCAGCCTCAGGTTTCAGCAAGGAAAGCAGATGGTCTCTGAGGGGGTAGGGGCCTCCCCTGAACCTTGTGAGGGGGAACATGGCAAGTCTCCTCCAACCCATGCCCAATGGGGATTTTAATGCTGGGGGAGGTGCTGAGAAAGCTCATTATTACATGAGGGCTTGGTGGGGTCAAAGGTCAGGAGCTGTGAGCATTGCAGAACTTTCCCTCAAGGAAGTGACCTTCCCTTACCTAGACCTTGAGGTACTAGAACGACATCCTCCCCCAGTTTCTCCTGTTTCTTGGCTAATCCAGCTCTGAGCTCAAAGCCCAGTCAGAAGCTCCTTCTCCAGGACCCAGGTCTGGGGAAAGAGGGCACCACTGTACTGGGCTGAATGGTATCTTCTACATGGCTAAAAAGGGCAGTTCCTGACCTTCTGAAGCAGACAGCATATCCCCCTCCCCATCATATCTCACACTTCCCCACCAGTTTCCCCTCTAACCACAAATTCTAAGAGGTGACTCATAAGGGACATTGTTTAGACATCATTGGCCTTGGAGACAGCCTGAGTTCTAGTCACTATTCTGATAACTTGGGGAGAGACACAGAGAGAGAGACAGAGACAGAGAGACAGAGATTTTTCCTCTCTGGCATCAGTTTCTTCATCTGTAAAGTGGGAGGAATAACATTGCCACTGCAAACACAAATGTGAAAGACTTGCTCTATATGTCTTAAAGGATAGTCCTTTGCCAATGAAGGAGGAATCATGTGGTGAATTTGGACCAGTATAGATAACCAGTCTGGTTAGAGTTCTGCCCCCTAGAAGTCACTGACTCTGGGATAGACCTGCCCTACCTCCATCCCTACCATGGCTGCAGGTGGAGGTGGTGATCCTCTGACAGTGTCAGCCCTGAAAGACCCCAGAGCAGGGGCTCTTAACCATTTTTATGTCATGGACCCCTTTGGCAGTCTGGTTAAACCTGACCTCTTCTTAAAATAACATTTAAAAATGTGTAAAATAAAATACATGGCGTTATAAAGGAAACCAATTATGCTGAAATGTGGTTGTTAAAATATAAAAACAAAAAACCAGCTTATAGACCCCAGGTTATAAACCCTCCAGCTTAGAACGTAGATTAGATAATATCAAAACTGGAAGAGATTTAGAACGTAGAATTCATTTCAACATTATCAGGCCCTTGCTGGGCACTGAAAATCTAAAGGTGACAAAATGATGTCATTTCTGACCCCACACACACCTTACAGCCTACAGGGTTGGAGTAGGGGGGACAGGAGACCACAGGAAGAGATAAATAGGACACAAGGTAGACTTTGATAGGGGCAAAAGAGAAATTCAGACAGTGTGCTCCATGAAAATGTGAGGGGGAAAGAGCCCTTACAGCTTGGGGCAGGGGACAGGTGGAACAGGAGAAGTTTCACTGATCAAGTGGCACCTGAGCCCATACTTGGAGAAATAAAAGGAGTTTTTCAGGTGGAGATGAGGATATATGTTCCAGGTTTTGGTTTAGTCCATGCAAATCAATGCACAAAAATAGGAGATGCAGTAGTCTATTGATTGGGAGCCATGGGAGGATATAGTGTAGAGGGCACTCGATTTGGAGTCAGTAGATTGAGCTTGAAGCCTGCCTCTGCCACTTTTCACTGGTGTGATATCAGGCAAATTGCCTCCCAGTTTTGGGCCTCAGTTTCTCCACCTGTAAAAATGAAGGGATTGAACTAGATGCTGTCTCTAAAGTCTCTTCTACCTTACTCTCTGACTTGATGAAATGGCATATTGAATTCAGGGAATGCTGTTTTTTCAGGGTATGTGATAGTGGCATTCCCCTCATGCATAGGTTGAACTGGATGGCCAATGAGGTCCCTTCCAGACCTCAAGTTCTTCAATTTTGTAACAGCTAGTGGTCCATTCTGAGCTAGAGTCCTCAGAGGGGAGTCATGTGAAAAGAGTCTGGAATGGTAGGAAATTGTGGAAAGTCTTGGGGTCCAGACTGTTTTACATTTTATCCTCTAGTCAATAGAGAGCCCTCAAAGGTCTTTGATCAAGGGACTGGAATGGACACACCTGTGCATTATTAGGAGAACTATTTTGATAGCTGTGTGAGGGGTGGATTGGAGAAGGGAGAGATGGGAAATGGGGAAACCAATTAGAATACTATAGCAGTAGTTCAGGTGAGAGGTGTTGGGAGATGGAGCTCAGGTTGTGGTTGTGTGAGTGGAGGGAAGGGGCCAGAGAACAGAAATTTGGTGAAAGCAGTAGAATCAGCTGATTAGATATAAGGAGAGGGAAGAGTCTGAGTGATTTGGAGGATGGCGGTACCATCCATAGAAATAGGGGAGTTGGTAGGAGTGGCATGTTAATATAATGAGTTCAGGTTTGGGACATTAAGGGGCCATTGAGGCAAACATTTAAGTAGAGATGTCCAACAGGTATCTGGAGATTTAGACTTGGAGCTGGGGCAAAATTGGGGCTAGAGATGAGTGTTTAGGAGTCATCTTCCTAAAGGTGAAAATTTAATCCGAGGAAGGAGATAAATCACCAAGGGAGAGATTGTAAAGAGAGGAGAGATGAGGCCAGAGGCCAGAGCCCAGGGGAATACCCACACTTAGATGGTGAGAGGAAGGCAGTGACCTAACAGAAGAGGTGGAGGAGTAGCCAAATGGGTAGGAAGACAGTGTTGTGGGAGCTCAAGGAGGATGAGTATCCAAGGAGATGGGGAGGGCCAGTGATATAACATGCTACAGGGAAATCAAGCAGAGTTCGAACAGAGAAAAAGTTATAGAATTTAGCAATAATCCTAATAATAGCTACATTTGCTGAATGTTTTACATATGCTATCCCATTTGACCCTGTGAGGTAGGCACTATTATTATTATCCTCATTTTACAAATGAGCAAACTGAGGCTGAAAGAAATTATCCAAGGTCATACAACTGATAAGTGTTTGAATTCAGGTTTTCCTCACTCCGATCCTAGCACTCTGTCCACTGTACCACCTGGCTGCCTCCCAATTAAAAGACCTTGGTGACCTTTGGAAAAACAATTTCTGGACAATGGTAGAATTAGAAGTCAGATTACAAGGGGTTGAGGAGTAAATGAGTGAGAAGCAAGCGCAGGCACCAGATGTAGGGGACTCTTTCTAGGGTAATCAGAATCAGAGACTTCAGAGATCATGTTGTCCATTTGACAGAGACAGCTGAGGCCCAGAGTAGAGGAATGACTTAACCAAAGTCGCACAGGGAGGAAGTGGTAGAGATGGTGCTTGAACACAGTTTGTCTTCACTCCCAATCCAGTGAGTTTTGCAGTGAATAAGGAGGAGAGTTATGGGCTGATAGCTACAAGGGAGAGCAAGGTTAAGAGATTTCTTCTAATGGTTAGTAAGAATTATTTTGTATTTCTTTAAATATAAAATATTTCATTTTCCCTCAATTACATGTTAAAATAATTTTTAACATTTAAAAACATAAGTTTTGGGTTCTGTATTCTATCATTCCCTTCCTCCCTCCTTTTCCCCTTCCCTGAGACTATGGTAAACAATCAGATATAGATTATGCCTGTGCAATCATGTAAAACATTTCCATATTAGTGAGAGAAGGATTTTTAAGGACGGGGAACTGGAACATGTTTGGATGCAGGAGTGAAGAAACCAGAAGGAATAGCTCTGAGGTCTGGAAGGAAAGGGCCCATTGTTAATGCTATCTCTGTGTTAAATAGCTCTAGTATCGCTAGATATGAGATTAGAACACAGAACATCTGAGCTAGAAGAGACATTAAAGGCCATCTAGTGATTAGTCCAGCCACCTCCTTTTATTGGTTAGGTAACTCGGGCCTAGGCAGGAGAATGACTTGCTGGAGGTCAGTACACTAGATGGGGGCAGAGATGAATCTCAGAGCCAGGGTCTTTTAGTCCCTGCCAAAGCTTCTCTTCACTAAACGAGACTCTCTTCTTGTACTCCCCTCCCCTTGCCTTCACACAGAGGTTCTTGGAAGCACTTCATAACCAACTCCTGATCCATCATTTGACAAAGGACGAAATGAAGCTGTCTGGAAGGGAATTCAGGCCATCAGCACAAACAGGAGATGACCTAGAGTGAAGTCAGGAGACCTTCATCATTCCCTGTTCATTGATGTCCACTTCTGGGTAATGCTGACTAAAAAGTGGGTGGGTGGGGGGTGGGTCTGTGTTGGGTGAATATGTCTCATGTATTTCTTCCATGTGTATGTCTCACATGTGTGTGTTGGGTGAGTGTCTTGTGTGTATGTTCTGTGTGTGTGTGTTTTGGGTGAGTATATTTTGTGTGTGTGTCTCACGTGTGTGTCGTGGGGGGGGTCTTGTGTGTATATGTCTCTCATGTGTATGTCTCATGTGTGTGTTGGGTTACTGTGTCTCATGTATGTATCTCATGTGTGTCTTCTCCCTAAAGCATCTGGCTACTTCAGCATGGACTAAACGGTTTCAGTAGCTCTATGACAGATAGCAGTGTTAATGCTGTACGCCCCCAGGATTCAGTTTCCAGGGAGGCAGAGGCAAGTTCATGGTGCAGGGCACAATCGCTACAATATTGCCATTCACTGCCTTCACGGCAACTGTCTCCCCCCTTTCCTGTCTCTCTCCCACTTGTAAGATGTCTTGCAACATTGTAGCAGCTATACTTTGGTTTACTTTGGTTTCCATTAAGCTGTCAGCCTTGTGGGCAAATCATTCAGCTGGTGTTTGGTTTGTTTTTTTAAACTAAGCACCTGGTTAGAGGGATGGGAGATGGAGATGACCTGGACCCTGCCCTTGGGGAACTCCTAGTCTGGAGGAGATAAGACTCATAACCAGGGACAATTCAGGATACACTATAATCAAGGGCTGAACTATGGCTCTCAAAATAGAGAGGGCTCACTGAGGGCTAGAGCAGGCCTAGGATGTCCTGGCAGAAGTATGGCTGGAGCTGGATCTTGAAGGATGGAGAGGATTTGGAGAGGTCTGGAAGGGGCTGACAAGCTGGAGGAGGTTGTGGGCAGAGGTTGGAATGAAGGAGACCCCGGCTAGCTAGGAGGGGCTGATGTCAGGGAGAAGAGACTAGAGTGGGAGGCTTTGGCCAAATTCTGGAGGATCTGATTGACTTCTTGGATTATAGGAGTCACTACAGGTGTCTGAGCAAGAGTACGGGTGGGGCCTAAGGGAAGGGGCATGTTGAATCAGGAAGCTGGGGAAGTGGAGGGCAGGACCCATGCTTCATTCAAGAGCTGGAGCATCCAGGTTGAGTCACATATCTTGGTGAAGGGGCAGGAAAAGGAAGCTATCACAAGCTAGAGCAACAGCCACCTTCTGCTAACCCTATCCGGGAGCCCTTCCTGTTTTCCACCAAAGCCGTCCCCTGAGGCTTGAGTTTCTCCTTTTCTGCAGCCTCCATTTGCAGGGGGTGGGCCCCCATCAACCCCACTGCCTTAGAGATCATCAAGTCCCAGCCTCAGACTGGGAGCTCAGAATGCCACCCAGGTCTATTCTTCCTTTCTTTCCCGGATCCTGGAAGCTTCTCTGGGGCAGCACCCAGTTCATCTCCCACCCTTCTAACCAGGTGCTTAATAAAGACTCATTGAATGAGTAATGTAAGGCCAACAGGTTAATGGAATCCAAAGAGCAGTGGTTACTGGATTGTAAACCATTCTACAAGTGTGGCAGATGGAAAGGGGGGAAAGACAGTTGCTGTGACTGCAGTGAATGGCAATATTGTAGCAATTGTGCCCTTCACCATGAACTTGCCTCTGAGGCCTCTGGGTAACATTAACCCTGATGTCCGTCATGAAGCCACTGAAACCCTCCTCTGGCCCACACTGAATTAGCCAGATGCTTTAGGGAGAAAACAGGGAAGCAAGGGACTTGTCCATGATCACCTGGCCAATCAACAGAGGGAGAACTTTGGTCTCTTGACTTTCAGCCTAGGGCTTTCTTCACTCTACCACAAAACTATGAAAACTGCTGTACTGAGAAGAGCCCTATATTCTTTCGAGTCCTTGCTTGGCTATTTACGAGTGGTATGACTTCTTTGAGCCTCAGTTTCTCTCTCTTTGAAATGATAGTAATATTACTTATACCACCTGCCTGTAATTACAGACTTTGTAAACTATAAAGTGTTGGAGGAATGTTAGTGAATGATAACCACTTACTTTTCCAAAATATATAGAATACAAGTACCTGTACCCTCTTTGGCCTCAGTTTCCCCAACTGTAAGATGAGTGGGTTGGACTAGTTGGCCATCTGTGTTCAAAGGTCCCTTCCCATTGTAAGGTCCCTGACTTTATTGTGATTTTGAGATTTGTTGATCAAAGCTAGATCCTTTATTTAGTTTAGTTTGCATAGAATAGTATGACAAAAATGTTAGAAATGCTAAGTAAAAGCTAAAAACAGGTAGCCCTTTAAAAAAATGCCTCACACTGCTAACTGCAGGGCGATTGGGTAAGGAGATATTTACCATTTACCGATGCCCTCTGGGGTTGGACCTTGGTCCTGCCTGAAAGGGAAGACAAGGGCACTAGTTCATGCCCTAGTTCTTCCTCCCAGTTCTCCCCTAGCTTCATCTCTGAGCCACTTGGGAACTCAAGGCTTCCCCAGGGTCTGGAGGGTTGCAATCTGCCCCAGAGGTGACCTGTGCGATAGAGGGAGAGATACTGACAGATGGAGCTGGTGAGAGGGCTGTCTGTCAGAGGAGAAAGGAGGAAGGGGGTTGCTGATGCCGCAGAACTGGCCACATCTGGTATTTGGACAGCACTGTCACTAGCTAATTTTTTTGCCCAAGGCCAGAATATAAAATTGTGGCCCCTCTCACCTAATGGCACGGCATGCTTGGGATAGTAGATGAATATTTTATAGATTTTTGGCACCCCTCGGCTTTGCCTGCCTGAGGCAAGTGCCTCAATTAAATTGCCCTTGTTAGGGCTCCAAATTTGGGAGTGCAGAAAGCAGCCTCCCCCCAGATAGGCCCTTGTCTGATCACTGTCCCTGGGGCAGCACTCCTGGCCAGAAGCTCCTAGGCCTTCTTGGACAGTGGGAGAGGTGGGTGGCTCTCGGGCGGTCCCTGGTGGTAGCCAGAGGAACTTCAGCTTCCAGTCTTCTCCCAATTTATTGTTGTTGGGTGGTTTCAGTCCTGTCCAACTCTTCATGACCCTATTTGGGGGTTTTTTTGGCAGAGATATTGGAATGGTTTGCCATTTCCTTCTTCAGCTCATTTTACAGCTGAGGAACTGAGGCAAACGAGGTTAAGTGACTTGGCTAGGGTCACACGGCTAGTAAGTGTCTGAGGCCAGATTTGAACTTAGGAAGACGAGTTTTCCTGATTCCAAAGCCAGTGCTCTATACACTGTGCCACCTCGCTGCCCATCTTCTCATGTTTCTCCTCCCTAATTGCCACAGAACCATGCCAGCGCCCAGCCTGCCACCTTTCCTGGTGCTGAGGACCTGGACCCACATCCTGCTCCAGATCCTGACCTTGATTCTGGGAGCTGTCCAGGGCCTCTTCCCCGAGGAGCCTCAACCCCTCGCAGTGGCACCACGGGATTGTGAGTTGGGGGCTTTGAAGTAAGACTTAGGGGGAGCAAAAGGGGTATTGGGGGAGGGGAACCTAGAGAGTTTGTGGGGAAGGGAGGTCATTGTGGAGAAAGATCCTGCAGACCCTCTGCAAGGATGCCTCCAAGACCCTGAAGCATTGGTCCTGGAACAGGAGAGAGAAGGGGGTGTCCCCAGGAGTCATTCTCTAGAGTGGGCAGCTAACCTTCCATTCCCCATGGCCCACAGACGTAAAGCAGTACCCAGTGTTCACAGGCAGTGGTCCAAGCCGCTTCCCTCTAGCCTCCAGCACCGAAGGGCTCAACATTCAACGTATGCTTCGGGTCAACAGGACCCTGTTCATTGGAGACAGGTATGAGTAGGTGGACGTGTTTGAGTAAATTAGCGTATTGTAGGGAAGGGTTGGCATGTTATCGTCTGGACTCGTTAGCATATGGTCTATGTGTTGCCATATCAAATGTTAATGTGTATTTGTTCCTGGGTTGGGCTGTGTTGGCTTGTTGGGGCAATTAGCATATAGGGGTGCATGAAGGCATGTTAACATTATATGTTCCTGTATTGGAATGTGCTAGTGGATGCCGTGTTTGTGGCAGGGTGGTAGGGAAGGGCTGCCCAGAGGGTTTGTCTGGATGCCCCCCACCCTCACTGAGCCCCAGGTCCCCCTCACAGGGATAACCTGTACCGAGTAGAGCTGGAACCACCCACGACCAGTGAACTGCGCTACCATCGGGTGAGTGGGGGGTAGGGGAGGATCTCATCTGGTTGGGCTGAGGGAGGCAGGGAGGGAGATAGCCCAGAAGCAGTCCCCACTCAGCGTGCCTCCGAGATACCCCCTCTGTCCTTCCCAGCCATGGGGACTGACTCCCTCCCCCCGGACTCCAGAGAGCCACCTCTGGGAGGCCATCTGGCCAGGGGAAAGAAGATCATCGGATCAGAGATTCTAGAACTCAAGGTCATCTAGCCCAACCCCCTATTCTGCCACCTTATCACCTCTCTTGCATACAGATGAGGAAACAGAGGCTCAGGGAGGTAAGATGACTTGCCCAAGGTCACACAGAGAGTAAATGGCAGAGCCAATATTTGAACCCAGGCTTCCAAATCCAACCTGTTTTGTACTACACCATGCTGCATCTCTGAGCACCTGTGTGCTGGATTTGAAGGGAGAAGAGACCTCGGTTCAAATCCTGGCTCTGATGCTTACTAGTTGTTTGACCCTGGCCAAGTCACTTTACCTTGCTAAGTCTCAGTTTCTTATCTCTAATATGCGGATAATTAACATAGTACTTCATAGACCTGTCATGAGGATTTACATTGTAAATCTGAAAGTGCTACAGAAATGAGAACTTGGTATTGTTATTATTATTCCTAGCTATAGAGATTGTGTCCCCCCTTATTCTGAATCACCCTCTCTTCTCTTTTTTCCTTCTCTTTCCTTCTATTCTCTTCCTTTCCCTTCCTCTCCTTTCCCCTTCCTACTCCTCCCCCTTCCTCCCCCTTCTCTCAATTCCCTCCCTCCTCCTCTCTCCTCTTTTTCATTCTGTCTCACTGTATGTGTCTCTCTCTGTCCCTGTCTCTCTCTCTCACACACACACACACACACACGCACACACACACACACACGCACACACACACACACACACACAGCACACACACGCACACACACACATGCACACACGCACACACACACACACGCACACACACACACCCCTAGCCTACCTGAAAACCACCCAACCCCATCTATTCCAGCCACAAGCGTTAGCTCTTTCCCCTCAGCCTTGTGGCACTAATTCTGCTTCCACAGAAGCTGAGCTGGCAGTCAAATCCAAACGACATCAACATCTGTCGGATGAAGGGGAAGCAGGAGGTAAGCTCATTTTCTCCCCATTCCAGGCCCAGACAAGGAAGGCCATTTTCATACTCATGCCCTTTCCCCCAGGACTGTCCTGGCAGGTAGCCCTAAGCCTTCCCCCACCAGTCCCCACGATGCTTTTCTTCTTCCTCAGGGCGAGTGCCGTAACTTTGTGAAGGTGCTGTTGGTTCGAGATGATAACACTCTCTTTGTGTGTGGGTCCAACGCATTCAACCCTATCTGTGCCAACTATAGTGTGAGTCCTGGCCCTACCTGGTCCTGCCCATACTCCCACCCCAGGGCTATGCCAATCACAACATGAATCCCAGCCCTATCTTTACCTCTTGCCATGCCATTAGATGAGGTGAATCACAATTTTCTTATCTTGTCATAGGCAAAACATTAATTGTAATGCTGTCCAAGTCCCAGATGGGGCAAGTGCTACCTGAGGGCTGCGCCAGTATAGTTTAATTCCCAGCCCTGCCTGCCCCTGCTGTTAACCCCGCTCTCAACCTATGCTATACTATTTGCCCAATCCAGGCCTATAGGCCCTGGCTTTGGATCCAGAACAGAAGGATATGCCCACTCTTGGGATTTACCCTTTGGATCTGAAAGAAATTTCCCTCTCTGGAAATGGGTGGGCAGGTAGAATGACCTTGTCAGGCTGGGATGGAAAAGAGAAGACTCTCAGGTCACTCATGCCCTTCTTGCCTCCCTCCTGGCCCCTGCAGATGGACACCCTAGAGCCTATGGGAGACAACATCAGTGGCATGGCCCGCTGCCCCTATGATCCCAAGCATGCCAATGTTGCCCTCTTCTCTGGTGAGTGTCCCTGGCCTGCAACTCTGGTGAGTGTGAGGCTCAGCCTCAGGCCAGGGTTGAGGTTCAGTGTGAGGCCACTGGTCAGCCCTTTACCCCTTAGGTCCCTGGTGAAATAGATCCAACCACCAACCTTCTATGTGCCCCCTCCTTTTGGAGAAATTTTTGCATAAAGGCCAGCTAAGCCACATGCATTTCCCCCATCCCTTCTGTCTGTGTATTAACCCTGGTTGTTGTTGTTAGTGGTGGTGGTGGTGTTGGTGGTGGTCCTTTGTTCTCGAAGAAGACCATGACATCAGAGAAGTGATGCCATGACATGCAAATGAACTGGATTTAAGTGAGAGATGGCTGCAAAAAGTCACCAGCCTAACTTTCTCCTCCGGAGCCATTTGGGTCCAGTGGCAAGATATAGATCAGGACAACTGGAGATGGCCCAGAATGCAGTGGGAGACCTTGCAAGGCCTTTTCAAGCTAAGGGTTTTAACAGGTCTCAGTTTGACTGAGGTGACACCCACTCTGGTGAACCAAGAGGGATAGGCTCACCCATTGCACAGATAGGAGAAAGGCCCGCAGATGGGTGAATGGTTACTGTAGGCTTAGACAGCTCATACTGTGGTCCTGGGGAGGGCTCACCATTGGACACACAGTTTGGTGAGTACTTGGAATCTGGATGTCACTAATCCCACTTCTTTGCCTCTCCCTCATTCCCACCCAGGTGGGATGCTTTTCACAGCGACAGTCACTGACTTCCTGGCCATTGATGCTGTCATCTACCGAAGTCTGGGTGACAGTCCCACACTCCGAACAGTCAAGCATGATTCCAAGTGGTTCAAAGGTAGGAAGCTGGGGAGGGGAAAAGGAAGGCATCTCAGACTGCATGCCCCACATAATAAGAGTCTTTAGTGATGATAGATAGAAAACTCAGCTCTTCATATAACAGGCTTGAGAGTCAGTCTTGGCAGGATGATCTTTGAAGTCCTTTCATTCTACAATTTGACCTCCCTCTCCCTACCCCGACCCCTCATAATAAAAAAATTCCCTTGTCATCATTAAAAGCCCCCGTTCCCCCTCAGCTGCCTAGTCCAGTTCTCATATGTCATAAAAGCTCTCAGCCCAGGCAGTGTCTCACCCACCTCATGGGAAGGGCTAAGCCTTGACCTCTCCTCTCTTCCCCTCATCTCATCCCTTGACCCACAGAGCCTTATTTTGTCCATGCCGTGGAGTGGGGGAGTCATGTGTATTTCTTTTTCCGAGAGATTGCTATGGAGTTCAACTACCTGGAGAAGGTGAGTCCCTGACTGGGGAGGAGAAGTAGGGCCACAGTAAAACCAACACTCCCCTGAAACAAGCTTTGGGGCCTCTAGTGCCTGAGGTCTAGCCGTAGCAGTCACCAGAGCAAGTTTGTAGTGTGCCCAGGCCAGAGCTAGGTACTATGGGGGAAGAATAAGGACATCTTGTACTCATGCTAGGCCTAATGTTTTCCAAATAACTTCCCAACGTCCTTGGGAGGCAGTGCAGGGATTATTCACCCCATTTTACAAATAAGGAAACTGATCCCCCAGAGAGGGGAAGTGATTTGAAAAAGTGACACATTAGTAGCAGAAATAGGACCAGAACCCAAGGCTCTCTCCCCCACACCACACTTGTATGTCTGTCCATTAAAGGAAAAAACCACTCCCAGATTCTCAAACCCTCAGAACTGTAAAGGTTCAGGTCCAACCCCTGGGTTTACTGATAAGAAAGCTGAGGCTCAGAGAAAGGAGTGACTTGCCTAAGGTCATGCAGTGCATTAGTGACATTGCCAGGATGTTAACACAGTCCCTCTGACTTCAAGTCTGGGTTCTTTATAAACGACTGCTTTCTCCGACTGATTCCTAGCATGTGAGAGTTCAAGGCAGGCTAGGTCAGGGAATGGATGGGATGTGTGACCCACCAGGGCTACCCCATAGGTTGTGGTGTCTCGTGTGGGCCGCGTGTGCAAGAACGATGTGGGTGGCTCCCCTCGAGTACTGGAGAAGCAATGGACCTCCTTCCTCAAGGCCCGACTCAACTGCTCTGTGCCCGGAGACTCCCACTTCTATTTCAACGTCCTCCAGGCCGCCACTGGCATCCTCAATTTGGGAGGCCGGCCTGTGATCCTGGCCCTGTTTTCTACCCCCAGCAACAGGTCATTAGAACAGGGGATGGCACTAGATGGGCCCCAATTCATAGCCTTGTTAGCTGGGTGTCCTTCAGCTCCAGGGCCTCAAGGCTGAATAGAGGACTCTGGCTTCCCCTCCATGTGGCTGCCCAAACCTCTCTCTGTCCCACTAAGGTCCCTCAGGGCACACCTCCCTTGAGTGGTTTATGCACCCTGTGCTCCTAGCCCTTACCCCAACTTTGCATGTCATTCCTCCCCTCCTACCCCAGCTTCAACTCTTCATGTCCTCAGATCCCCAAGCACTTAACTCTCAAGTCCTTAAATTCTCCATGTCCCTAACTCATCGCCAGTCCTAAATTCTCCATGTCCCTAACTCACCACCAGTCCTTAATTCCCCTGTGCCCTCCAGCCTTGGCCCTAGCTTCCTGTCTGTGACTCTGCTGTGATCTCTCCATCCTCATACTCCTCTCCCCCACAGTATCCCTGGCTCAGCTGTCTGCGCCTTTGACATGGGCCAGGTGGCAGCTGTCTTTGAGGGCCGCTTTCGGGAACAGAAGTCGCCAGAGTCCATCTGGACCCCAGTGCCTGAAGAGCTGGTACCCAAGCCTCGGTGAGTCAGTCAACAATCAGTCAGTAAGCATTTAAGCACAGACTATGTGCCAGGCACTGTGCTAAGTTCTGAGGATACAAAGAAAGGCAAAAGACAGTCCCTGCTCTCAAGAAGCATATATTCTAAGGGGCAAAGCAGCATGTAAACAACATGATACATGGACAACAAGATATATATGAGATCAGCTGGAAATAACAGATGGAAGGCACTAGAATTAAGGGGGATCAGAAAAGGCATCCTCCAGAAGGTGGGATTCTAGCTGGGTCTTGAAAGAACTCAGGGAAGCTAGGAGGTGGTTCTTGGCCCTGCTTTTAGTGCCAGGCAGCCACAGAAATAGACCAAAGACTTGGCTAGAGCTCAGGTCATAGGAAAATCAGAGCTCCTTTGGGATCATCTAGTCCAGAGGTTCTTAATGTGAGGTCGAGGAAGTTTTACAAAATTTCCTCGATAACTATATTTTAATATAATTGGTTTCCTTTTAATCCTGTGTGTCTTATTTTATGCATTTAAAAACATTCTGAGAAGGGGTCCACAGGTTTCAAATAGATGCCTAGAAGGGGCAAGTGACATCTTCAGGGTCACACGGAGCCAATAAGTGGCAAAGCTCAGGTTTGAGCCCATGCCACCTGACCCTTTGACTCCCAGCCCAAGACACCAGCTCAGTGGAAGCAGAGTATGAGCCCTCTGGACCCCGACCAATCCCTAACCTTCCTCCTCCTCCCTCAGGCCTGGGCTCTGTGCAGCCCCTGGAATGCCCTACAATGCTTCCAGTGCCTTCCCCGATGAGATCCTCAACTTTGTCAAGACCCACCCCCTTATGGATGAGGCGGTCCCTTCCCTGGGCCATGCCCCCTGGATTGTGCGCACCCTTGCCCGGTGAGTGCCTGGAGAAGAGGGGGGATTCAGCACTCTATTCATGTCATCAAGTATTACTGTGTATGTTCTTCTAAGTTGAATGTTGACTATGACCTTTATCGACAGTATAGGGGGTGGGAAGGGACAGTGTCAGCTCACAAGCATGCATGTATGTTGGCATGTATGTATCAGCACATATGTGTTATTCAGGAAATATTTATGATGTGCCTACTGTGTACAGAGTCCAGCACTCAGTGCTAGGGGAGATACAAAATTCAGCTAAGAGAGGGTCCCTGCCTTTATGGAGTTCACAGTCAGAAATAGGGGGATAAGTCATAATCTCAGATGAGCATAATACACATTTAGTAGTAATACTGCAGCAGAGTCCTACAGTCAATAAACATTTATTAAGCACCTACTAAGTTCCAGGCACAGTGTTAAGCACTAGGGATAAAAACAAAGACTTCCCCTGCCCTCAAGGGACTTACAATCTAATTAATCTAAAACAATACACCAAAGGAAATGGAAAAGCAAGGACAGGGGGATGGTAAGGTCCAGAGGCATGAAAAGCTGGGTAAGAAATGAAGAGGGGAGAGCAAAGTATAGTGAGAGAATGTAGGGAGAAGGTTTTTTTCTGACAAAAAGAAAAGAAGCTGCTTGGGGGAGGGGGCGGGCAATGCTAGGAATTCACCAGGATGAGACCAGAAGAGAGGACATCATAGCCATAGAGGAAAAGTGGGAACCAAGGCAAGGAGGCTGGAAAGCCTAGGCCAGGTTTGGAACAGAAAGTTTCCCAGTTTGACTAGAGGTGAGTAATGAGATGAGGCTGGAAAGGTATGGGGGGGAGGGAAGTGCCTTAAATGTCAGGCAGAAAAGTTTGAACTTTACCTGGTAAGCTCTAAGGAACCACTGAAGATATTTGAATAGAGAGGAGGGACATGACCAGATGAGAGATGATTCTGGCATTGCTACGTTGGCTGGATTGGGGGAGGGTGTGTGAAGGTGGGAAGGCCTCTCAGGAGGCCTTTGCATGGCCAGGATTAGGATAGAAGCAGAGACAATAGAAGGGAGTGGGTGGATGCAAGGATTGTCCACAGGTAAAATCAGCCAGACTTGGTAAAAGATTGGATGTGTGTTGGAGGTGGAGGAAAGGGAAGAGTCCAAGATGATTCCAACTTTAGGAACGTGGGAACCTGGGTGAATGTACTTCCATCAGGAGAAATACAAAAGCCAGGAGAAGAATTGGATGTAGGGGGAACCATGAACTTGGTTTGAGGTGTGTCTGAGCGTACCGGTATGTACATATATTGTGTTGGTATTTAACAATCCACACATTTATCAAGTGCCTAATCTGCACAAAGAAAAGCATTGTATTATATGGTTTATTGGCATATATGGTTATATATCAGTGCACACATATTTATATGTGGGTGTCCTGGGTAGATGTAATGAGCTGTGTGGGCCTCTGGCAAGGTCCCATGGTCCTGCATGCCCATTAAAGTATGCTCATCTGAGTAAGGCAGGTATGCAGCTGTCCCTTGGTGGGCATGGCCAAGGAGGAAACCAACCAGGCTGTGACCTTCCTTCCTTTCCCCTGGCATTAGGCACCAGCTGACCCGAGTAGCTGTGGACACAAATGCAGGGCCCTGGGGGAACCAGACCGTTGTGTTCCTGGGTTCTAACACGGGTACCGTGCTGAAGTTCCTAATCCGACCAAGTAGCAGTTCCCGGGGTCCCACCGAGCAGAGTGTCTTTCTGGAGGAGTTTGAGACCTACCGGCCGGACAGGTGGGAGCATGCTGGGAGGGGCCTGCTAGAAGGGGTGGGTGTGTGCTTGAGTTTGCCCCCAGCTCTGTGAGCTGTGGCAGCCACAGTGTCCTTAGGAGCTTACCAGGATTGGCAGGGAGGATTGCTTATTAGAACAGTCCCAACTGCCAGCCCAAACTTTCCCCTTCCCCATTGACTACCTGCCTGACCCAGAGCCCAGCTGATTCTATTTTCTGCCAGGTGTGGACGTGGCCCTGAGGAGAGCCGGAGGCTTTTGAGTTTGGAGATTGACCCCACAGCTGGTGCCCTGCTGGTGGCCTTCCCTCGGTGTGTGGTCCGTGTGCCCATGGCCCGCTGTCAGCAGCACTCAGGCTGCATGAAGTGAGTTTCTGTGAGCCTAGGGCTACTCTTTGAGTTCAAGGGAGGCACCACCTCACCCTGGGCCTAGAGGTCAGGGTCACCTGGATCCTCTAGGAGCCCTGGGGAAGCAGAGGTATAAGGGAACCATGGAAAAGCTGGAGGCTTGGGGGAGGCCTGGGAGACAGGGCCCTGATGCAATGCTTAAAGAAGATAGCTTGAATCTCTGACCTCCCCTCCTCTCTCCCACCCCTTTCCTTCCTGCCCTCCAGGAACTGCATTGGCAGCCAGGACCCCTACTGTGGCTGGACACCAGATGGCTCCTGCATCTTCCTGGTCCCAGGCACCAGGTAAGGGGCAAGCTGAGGAAGAGGATGCCTACACCTCTCTGTGCATCACATGAGACTGACTACTTGGGGCCCAGAGTGCCCTCAAGGCATCCCTGGAGATAAAGGGGGTAGAAATGGTGTTTTGTGGCCTGAGTGGATGTGTCCCTGAGCCTAGGGGCCTGACATTGTGGTCCAAGAGACAAAGTGTGTCAGGGGATCTGGATTCAAATCTCTTTTCCAACATTGAAGGTAATGGGATCACAGGGTTGCTAACTGCCTTGCTTATAGTAGGTGTTTATAGATGGTGATTGAAATTGAATTGAATTGAGTTTACTCCACTGGCCTCATTTCACAGATGGGGAAACTGAGCGTCCAAGAGGATAGGTGACTGGCCCAATGTCCCCTAGGTGACAGTGAACAGTGCCTGAGCTTCTGCTGTGTACAGAGCTCTGGGCCAGGAGTCAGAGGCGAGGTCAGGTTAATGAAGACAGTCCCTGATCTCAAGCAGATTGCAATTTAGTAAATGTCAGGACCAGGATTCATCAGGTCGTGAGATTTAGAGCAGAGAAGGAACTCCAGTCTAACCCCCTCGTTTGATAATTGAGGGAACAGGCCCAGGGAATTTGAGTAACTTGCTCTGAGTCACACAGCTGAGTCAGGAGCCTAACTCAGACCCTCTGCCTCCAAGTCGTGGTCCTTCAGCCACCCTGGCTGCCTTATGTAGATGTCCTGTTCTCCCCAAGTTAATTCACCTCTTCTTGTTTTCGCTCAGTCATTTCAGTCATGTCTGACTCTTCAAGACCCCATTTGGGGTTTTCTCAACAAAAGATACTGGAGTGGTTTGCCTCTTCTTCTCCAGCTCATTTTACAGATGAGGAAACTGAGGCAGACAGGGCTAAGTGACTTGCCCAGGGTCACACAGTGAATGTATCTGAGGCCAGATTTGAACTCAGGAAGATGAGTCTTCCTGACTCCAGGCCTGGTGCTCTATCTGCTGCACCGCCCAACTACCTAATTCACCTCGGAGAGTCACATTTTCCTCCTCTGTAAGATAGAGAAGATACAACATGAGGACCGGCTCACAGGTTTATCTTGAGGAAAGCACTTTGTGAGTCTTAAAGTATCACTGAAATGGGAGCAGGGATTTCCAAAAAGACAAGCCCAGCAGCTAGGGCAGCGTTCTCCTTGGCCTTCCTTGGTGGCCACCCTATGTCCCCACCTAGCCCCTAACAGCGAAGGGCTGGAGAAGCAGAATGATGGGTTTGGGGTCCGAAGGCTTTGACCTCGGACACGTCCCTCAGTTCCCCTGGGCTTCAGTTTTCTCATATGTCAAATGAGGAATCTGGGCCCTGACCTCAAAGGTGCCTTGTAGCTCTAAAACTGTGACCAAATGATAAGCTCATTTCAGATGCAAGAAGAGAATGTGAATGAGAGGGGGAAGGTACTCTGTAGTATTCCAAACCCTCCCTTTCTCTACCTGTACCCCACAGCACAGCTAGATGGCACAGCAGATAGAGTGCTAACTTTGGGTCAAGAGGATCCAGGTTCAAATGTGGCCTTAGACAAAAGCTGTGTGACCCTAGGCAAGTCACTCGATAATCTGTTTGCCTACATTTCCTCATCTGTAAAATGAAGATAATAACAGCAGCTACCTCCCAGGGTTATTGTGAAGACTGAATAAGATAATGATTGTAAAGTGCTTGGCACAAGCGCACATAGTAGGTGTTTAATAAATGGTCATTTCTTCCTTCTCTCCCACAGGGCTACCTTTGACCAGGATATCTCTGGAGCCAGCACATCTGGCTTAGGTGACTGTACTGGTGAGTGCTTGAGGGTTAGGGAGGGGGCCTGACCTAACTCAATGTGACAACATCTCCTGAGAAGGGGAAACCTTATGAGCCTGCCTCCAACTCGCCACCACCCTTACACTAGCATCTCACCCCACGCTTATCTGAGCCCTGGTCAAAGGGGTAGGGGGAGGGAGGAGATCCTAGCCTGTTCCCATCATGCTCGGTGCTGCCTATGTCCCACCAAGCCTGTTGAGGCACTGAGGCTCTCAGGGCTAGGAGATGGACATAGAGGGAGACAGGTGCCAAGGGAAATGGATGGAGAGAAACTAAGAGATGCTAAAGGCAATTGTTGATTACTGAGGACCACAGGTAAGGCAGACTGATGCTAAAACAAGCTAAGACAGACAAGGCGAGGCAGTGGGTTGGAAGCTTCCCTTTTCTCTGTCCCCATCAGCCCCAGTTCAGCCCCTGGAATTTCACTTCTTTGGCCAGAAGGAAGGTAGGGGGGCTGGTGCCATCTGCTTGGGTCTTACCCCTCCCACCCCTGCTTGCCTCCCACATCTGTCCCAGGGCTCCTTCGGGAAAGCTTCATGGAGGAGCGGGCTGGCCTCGTGTCTGTGAACTTGCTGGTGACTTCCTCAGTGGCTGCCTTTGTCATTGGGGCTGTGGTCTCCGGCTTCAGTGTCTGCTGGTTCGTGGGGCACCGAGACCGGCGGGAGTTGGCTCGCCGCAAGGACAAGGAGGCGATCCTGGCACATGGTGGGGAGGGCCAGGTGGTGAGCGTGAGCCGCCTGGGTGAGCGGCGTGGAGGGGCCGGGCCCCGGGCCGGGCCCCCTGAGACCCTGCTGGCCCCCCTCATGCAGAATGGCTGGCCCCAAGCAGCCTTGCTGCAGGCTGGCCAACATGAACTCGCCTCAGGCCTCCTGCCCACCCCTGAGCAGACACCCCTGCAGCAGAAACGCTGCCCTGGTGGACTGCAGCGGCGTGCCTGGGAGCAGAGTCAAGGAGTCCTGCACACTGTCCTCCGGGAGCCCTCTGGAAATGCCCCGTCCCTTGGTGCTGCCTCCTCCTCTTCCTCTTCCATCATCCTGCTGCACCCTGGTGGTGGCGGGCATGGGCCAGACCCAGAGGCAGGTGGTGATGTGCGTTTCCTGCCCTCAGCGATGGCCGGGGGCCGGGACCAAGTGGGTGGGGTGGCCCCCTCCCAAGTCAGGCCAGGCCGGGCCTCTTACGTCGACTTCCCTATCACACCGCATGCCAGCCCTGATCGGCGGAGGGTAGTTTCAGCACCTACGGGCCATCTGGACCCAGCCACTGACAGCCTCTCCCGGCCCTGGAGCCCTCCCACAGGGAGCCTGACAAGGAGTGGCCCGGCTGCCCCGGCCCTGCGGCGTACACACACCTTCAACAGTGGCAGTGGCAGCAGTGAAAGTCGCCCAGGGGAGCCCCACCACACCCGACGCCCCCGCCCGCTCACAGACTTTGCCCGCTTGCTCCCCTACGGGCCTGAGAGGACTGCACCCCCTGTGCAGTAAAGAGTCAGGGGACACAGCCCATCGATGCCCCCTCAATACCCTCCTGGCCTCCACTTCCCTGGCGAGGGGACCCAGGCACAGAGCCCGCCAGCCCGGGCCCAGGAAGAAGCTGGCCAGGCAAAAGATGGCCCCCAGGCCCTCATTAAAGCAACAGCCAGCCCTGGTCCTCCTCCGAGCAGGGTGCTCCTGGGGAGTTGGGTTCCTTCTCACACCGGCCCTCCGCGTCCCCCCCAGGGAGCTACACAAGAAGCACAAGAGCGTTGATCCCTTCCCTTGGGGGTTGGAAGAAGCTGTGCTGGTCTGGGGTGGGAAGGATTTGGAGTCAGAGGATTTGGGTTCAAATCCCAGCTCTGCCTCTGACTAGCTTTGTGACTGTGGGCAAGTCATCTCACCTCTTAGGGCCTAAGGGTCCTTGTCTGTAAAATGAGGGACTAGATTGGACTAGATGGCATCTCGTTCCCTTCCAGCTCTAAATCCGATGATCCCTATGACTGGAGACTGGCCCATAATTTCCTATTTGCCATTCTCCTGATTGATTTTCTTTTTCTTTTTTTTTAATGAATTGCACAATCTTGGGCTCAGTGGGACAGGCCAAAGAATTGCCCCCTGCCCAGGGGCCATGGCCTGGACAGAGCCTCCCCTCCCCTGCCCCTGGGTATCCCTCCCCCACCAAATGTTCCCTTCGGCCAGGGGTCCTGTGAGTTGGGTGTGCGTGTGCGTGTGCGTATGTGGGTATGTGTGTGGGGGTCAGTGGGTAGGTATATGTGTGTGTGAGTGTGTGCATGCCCGTGTCCATTTTGGAGGAAGGGGGCAGTGGGAGAGGGCTGCTGCTGGCATGTTGTGCTTGTGGGTCTGTCTCAGACGCGGGGGGTGGGAGCCATCTGCGTGACTTTTAGCCGACCGGCGGCAGAGCCTGAGGAGGCATGGTAGGTATCTAGCAGGTAGTCCTGGTATCTGGCGGGAGGTCAAGGCTTGCCATGGCTCAGAGGCGGCAGGGGAGCAGTTCTGAGTTCGGATCCCACCCCCTCAGGGAAGCTGGGGGGTGCCTGCCAGCTCTGGGAGGAGCTTTGGTCTTCCCCTTTCCCATTCCAGCCCAGTCTCCCCCTTCTCCCCCTCATCCCTCACTCCGTGCTCCAGACACTGCAGCCTTTGCTGTCTAAAGGGCTCCGGTTTGGTGTGGCTTAGGGGAAGGGGCCCTGGGGGTCGGGGCCAGTAGCCATGTACCCCTGTAAATAGGGCCCCAGGGTAGGAGAGGGCCCCCAACACCTCCCATTCTCTCGTGACCTGTGACCTTCCACCTTTGACCTGCAGGTCATGCATGCAACAGCTGTGCTCTGTATTAACTCTGGAATTAGCCCTCTCCCCCAAATAAAACTCTGTTTACAACACCCACTGCTTGGGCCCTCTCTTTGGCTCTCATCTGCCTGACTAGCTCACGTGGTGGATCCCAGGGCTGTGGGTATGTGGCTGGGGGCCCACACTGGAAAGGAGCTGTGAGTCAGGGGCCCTGGGTTTGGGTCCAGGATTTGCTGTCTGTGTGACCTTGGACAAGTCACTTCTGAGCTTCAGTTTCTTCACCTGTGAAATGAGGATAATAATACTCATGCTACCTACCTCACAGGATAGTTGGATGGAAATCAAAGCTGATAAAGTTCTATCAAAATGTAAACTATCTTTATTATCATTATTTAACAGTGGCAGCAGCGGTAAAAGAGTAGTTGGTGCCTGTGCCCTAGGGCACTCTGCTGCTCAGTCACATGGGCTCCTATCCTGGGGTAGCTGGAAATCTGAAGGCACCACGCTCTTCTTCCACTCCTCTGTGAACCTGGAACTTGAGGATGAGGGTGGATGGAGCCACAGCTGGGAGGGCCTTATGTCATAGGACGGTGGAGCTGGGAGAAGCCTTAAAACAGAACGTCATATCTGAGAGGCCTTAGAACTCTTGGCATTTAAAACCCTCCCAAACCTGGCTCCAACTCACCTTTCCTCGTGGGCCAGTCAAACTTGTGAGAGGCTTCCTCACAAATGAAGCTCCATCTCCCCTCTCTGAGCCTTTGTACAGACCATCCCCCATACCGAGAATGCCCTCCCTCTTCACGGCAGCCTCTTAGGATCCCTAAGATTTCCTTCAAATCTCAGCTCAAATGCCACCTTCCTACAGGAGACCATGCTCCTCTCCCCCAGTGGCTATGGCCTCCCCTATCCCCCAAATTCCCTTGGGTTTATTTTGTATGCATTTCACAGGTTCCATGGATTCAGAGCTGGAAGGAACCTTAGACGCCAGTGGTCCACTCTTCTCATTTTGTAGATTAGGAAACCGAGGCCCAGGGAAGTGAAATGATCTGTCCAATGTCATCGGTGGTGGGATTTGGATCCAGTTTATCTGACTCCAGAGCCAACATGCTTTCCTTTTTTTTCTTTTCTTTTCTTTTCTTTTCCTTTTTTTTTTTTTGGTATTGGTCAAGGAAGTTCCTCACCAGGACCTCCTTAACACCAATGAAATCACATGTCTGGTCAAAACATTTTGTAAATATTTGCTTTGTATTTATTTATATGTATATATGTTGTACATGTTGTCTTCTATAGAATGTAAGCTCCTTGAGGGCAGGGACTGTTTCCTTTTTGTCTGCATATAGTAGGCACTCAATAAACACTGGTTGATTGATTGAACAGAGAATGTCAGAACTGGAAAGGTCCTTGGTACATAGAATATCCTAGCTAGAGGGGATCTTGGAATGTGGAAGGTCAAAAGAGCAACTTTTGAACAAATAATGAAGTCAGAGCTGGAAGGGACATCCTTAAGCTGTCCACTCCAACTCCAATTTACAGAGGGGGAAACTGAGTCCCAGAGAGGGCAAGTCACAAAGTCACATAGAGATATGGCAGGGCTGGGACTAGACTGAAGGTCTTCTGATACTCTCCTTTTTGAAATAGTGGGCCACCTGTGTGTGTCTGTGTCTGCGTCTGTATGTGTGTCTCTAAGTGTTTCCATGTCCATGTGTATGTATGTGCATATGAGACTGAAGAAGGGTGTGGGTCTGATGTTCTGGGAACTGGGCATCATTATCTCTGAGCTCATTTGAAGAGAAGACTGGGCTACCAAGTCATTCCTGTGGAGCAATCAGAGAGAAGGAACAGAATGGTAACAGAGAGCACAATTAACCACAGGCTTTCTCCCCCATTCTGGGCCTCATTTTCTGCTCTGTAAAATGATATCTTCTCCTTCACCCTCCTCTTCCTTCTCAACAGTGTACGAGGATCATATAATCACAAAATGTTAAGAGTTTGGAAGGGTACCTAGAGGATATTGAGTTCCAACATCCTCACTTTACAAATGTGGAAACTGAAACCCAGAGAAGGAAAGTGACTTATTCAAAGACACATAGTGAGTCAGTGGCAGAACAAAGACCAGATAGATCTCAGGCATCTGACTCCTAGGCCAGAGTTCTTTACATTGTGCCTCATTGTCTCTGTCTGACAGCTCAGACAAGGGAGTTGGGGGGGGGGGCACACCCAGGTAAGAATGTGGATACATAAATGACTGGTTGGGGCTTCAGGGACAGGAAGGGGAGGCCCATCTACTTCTCCAGGAACAGAGACCAGGAAGCAGCAATTTCTCTGTGACCAACAGCTCTGACCCCCATGTCAATGATGAAATCCATGGGACAGACTCCAAAGTAAAGAACAGAAAAGAACCCTGCACCCACAGCCTTGACCCGGGTTCTTCTGGTTCCCGTACGAATTCTGATGTGTTACTTTACAAGACACTTGCCTCACTGGGCTTCCATTCACTGCCTCATCTACCAAATGAGGAGGGTTGAGCAAGATGAGCCCTCAGGGCCCCCCCAGAGACATTCTTTATTCTAAGAGTCCTCCCAACACTGACACTGTATGCTCCAAGGGCTCTCTCCCTCCACCACCACCTGACTCTGTTCTCTGACATTCTCTGTTCTCAGGGTGTTCTCTGTTCCAAGCTCCACCCTCTCCCCCTACCCTCAGCAATATGTTCTAAGAACCTTCCATGCCATGACTGTGTTCTAAGGTCCCCATCGGCTGAAGTGCTATGTTCTATTGACCCTTCCAGTGCTAATGTCCTAGGGTCCTCTCTTCCACCACTACCCTCCATCTCTCCCCAGGATCCTGAAACTTGGATTTATACCCTTGCAGAAGATGGGAGGAAAGGACATGTGACCTTAAAACTAGGGATAAAATCTAGGAAAAATCTTGATGGTTAACCCCAAGGGTGACACCTATTCTGGGAAGTCTCTTCCCCTTCCTCTTCCCCCCAGCTGGGCAATGATTTCGCAAGCAACCCCAGAGGCCCTGAACCGGAACATGCCAGGGTGGCTAGGGATTCTACAGGAGCGTCTCCTGCCTGCCCCACCTACCTTTGTATAAAGTCTCTACCGCAGGAAGGCTCCAGCAAGAAAAGCCAGTGAGCAGTAGCTGAACAGACAGACGCTATGTTCTCCTATAATTCAGAGCCTGGCCGAAGGTAAGGACACAGGGGCATGCACAAGGATAAACACATCTGGCTCACCAACAGCCCTATAGTGCCACACACAAATACAAAGGCAGAAACACAAATACAAAAAAAACAAGGCAATGCATGCCTTAGCACAGAGACAAATGAGACAGAAATACAGACATACACGTACAAACATAGAGGCAACTAGTGTGCATGCATGCCCACGCACACACGTGCACACACACACACACACACACAAACACACACACACACAGGAGACCATGAGGTGGGACAGAAGGGAGGGACCCAATGAAGGGTAGAAGTGAGAGGGGGACCTTAATCAGGAAAGCTGAGAATGGAGACAAGGGAGCAAGAGAAAGGGAAGAAGGGAGTTTCTGGGTCCTGTCCAGCTTCTTAGGGAGATGGTAAGGGACAGGGCCATTAGCCAGGATACCCCAGTGCCTCCCTCTAGACCATATGGCTTAGACACTGACTAGCTAATTGACTTTAAGTCACTTCCCCCCTTCAGTCCTCAGTTTCCTCTCCTGCAAAATGAAGGGACTGAATTAGTCTCCTTCAGCTTTGGTACTGTGAATTCTAAGAACTTTGAGCAACTGAGAAAGAGGATAATAGGGAGAGATTCCTGGAGAAAGTGATGCTTCAGGGAGAATATGGCTGGGAAGAAAGGGAAGGGCTGGTGGGGAGGGGGTGAGGAGAGGACATTCTGACTGAAGGGAACTGAGTATGAGCAAAGACACTAAGGTCAATGGTAAGAAGGATGTTAGCTTCCTCCAAATTGTGTTGCAGGGTGGAGAGGTCGGGGAGTAGAAACACGACAGAGACAATGTGTAACATTAAACCTGAGAAGGGACTTTTGGAGGAAGGAGCTTCTCATAGGAGTGCTCTCTTTTGAAAAGAATCATTGTTCAAATTTAATATATTCATAGAATGTCAAAATTGTAAAAGGCTTTACAAAATACCATGTCACAATTGGACAGGGCCTCCGAATGTTAGAACACAGAACTTGAGATGCCAGAAGGAGTATTATGTATTAGAACTATCTCGTGATTCGGAATCAGAGGACCTCCATTCTAGTGCCCCCCTGTGCCACTAACTGGCTTTTGGTCTTAAGCAAGTCACTCACTTCCTGGGTCCTGTTTCCTCATACAGAAAGGGATGGGATTGCTCCGGGTGATTTGTATGGTCCCTTCTAACTCTAAATCCTGTGATCCCTTGGAAGGAACCTTAGAACTTTTGAAGTAAGATGATGCTGAAAAGGGAAAACGTTTCCAGGTTGAGGGGAGGGACGTTGAATGTCAGATTTTTTTAACAGAGGAGTGTCATGACGAGATCTTTCAGAAGGAAGAGAATTGGGGTACTTGTAAAGGATTGATTGGAAGGGGAGACAATGGAGGTGGGAAAAATTATTAGAAAGTTACTGCGAAAGTTCTTTGAACTAACTGTAAGGAAACTCAGGTGATCATCCGGTTTACCCTCTTACCTTATGAGGTCCAGAGAGCTGAAGTGATTTGGACAAGATTGCACAGCATCCAAATAGCAATTGATCTTTTTGTGTCCACAGCCCGGCTGCCTGTGGCACGGCTAGTTCTCTAGCCATGCAACTGCTGCTATTCCTTCTGCTCTTCCCATCTCTTGGGCAAGGGGTTCCTCAGTGCCCCAAGGCCTGCAACTGTACCTTGCCAGTCAATGGCACATCAGCCACCTGCGGTCCCCTGGACAGCTTCCCCAGAGGCCTTCCTGTGGATACTACTTATGTCTTTATAGAATATACCAACCTCTCACAGCTCTCAAGTGACACCCTCAAGGGCCTCCCTAATCTCAAGGAATTGCACCTCGCTGGCAACAGGATTGACAACTTGAGCTCTCAGCTCCTGACACTCACACCCACCCTGAAGGTGCTGGACCTGACAGGTAACAACCTGTCTGAGCTACCCAGTGGACTCTTCAGAAACTCGGCAGCCCTCCACTCCTTGGTACTGAAAGGAAACAGACTACAGACTCTTAAGGCAGACTGGCTAGAGGGATTGGTGGCCTTGAACTGGCTGGATGTATCTGCGAACCAGCTCCAGAGGCTGCCCCCAGACCTGCTCCTCAACCTTACTGCCCTGCATATCCTGGACCTATCTGATAACATGTTGCTGGAGCTGCCCCGCAATCTGCTGAAGGGCCTCCCCAACCTGGAAAGGCTTCACCTGGAGGGTAACCAACTCAAGACTCTGGCCAAGGGCACCTTTTCTGTTACACCACACCTATGTTACCTTTTCCTCCAGGGAAACAGGTTAAGCAACCTGCCTTCCAGCATCTTCAGCACCCTGGGTGAGCTGGATATGATTGACCTGTCCAACAACTCGCTGGCACAAGTCCCTGACGGGCTGTTGGATAAGATGGGCCAGATGAGGGTTGGATTTGATCTCTCAGAAAATCCTTGGAAATGTGATGAGAAGCTATGTGGTCTCTACCATTGGCTTTTGAACAACCAGGACAGAATGTTCTTCAAGAGTAAGACCCGCTGTGATAGCCCCGAAGACCAAGCAGGCCAGATGCTCCTGGAGGTGGCTAAGAAAACAGTCTGCCCCAAGCAGTAGGTGCTAGGGGACACAACACAAGGCTCTACCTTCTCAACTTTGTCATCTACACATCCCCCTACATACTCAGCAGCCTGAACTCACACCCCAGCGTGACACCCAGGCAAAGCTTTACCAAAGGCTCTCCCCTTGCCCACAGCCCCTGAGCCCTTGAACCTGACAGACCCAGAATCCCCATAGCCCATGCTCCCCTGTCCCCAAATCTTCCACTACCCTCCTCTATCCTGAACTACAAAGATTCCATCAATACTGATTGAGCATCTCTTGCATGGTACTCCAAAGCCTGATCAGTAAGCAGGATTGCTTTCCTCTTCCATTTTAATTGAAAATGTAAGTCAAGGAAATAATGTAAAAGGACCTATCTGGACCTGTCTGATAACATGTTGCTGGAGGTGCCCCCCACCATCTGCTGAAGGGCCTCCCCCTTCTGGAAAGGCTTCACCTGGAGGGCAACCCGCTCCAGACTCTGGCAGAGGACACCTAGGAAAAACTGTAAGGAAAAAGTCATAGAGATAAAGGGAGATTATTGAGGGATAGTTCTTACTCATTTGGCCATTTGTATTCTTAAGGAGATGGTGTCTCCATGGAAACATTTGGCCCAAACATCTTCACCTTTTTTTAGGGGCTAGGAGTCATGTTAGAGACTTTCAGAGAGGCAGGTTTCTGTGCAATTATATTGTGAGCTCCTTGAGGGCAAGGACAGTCTTTTGCCTCTTTTTGTATCCCCTGCACTTCACTTGATGCCTGGCACATAGTAGGTACTTAGTAAATGCTTATTAACTTCCTAATAAAGGTGTTCCAAAGTAAAATGGGCCACTTGGAAAGTTGGGATGTTCCATCACGGGAGACTTAGCAGAAGGTGAATGATCACTTCCCTAATTAGTCTCCTATCTTCTAGTCCCTCCTCTCTCCAATCTATCCACCACACACACAGATGCTAAAACAATCATCTGAAAGTTCACTTCTGACACCAACACTCTCCTGCTCAAAAGCCTTTAGTGGCTCCCTGTTACTCCTACACTAATATACAGTACCTAGGAGCCTTGCATTTAGAGTCCTCCATCCAAGCCACCTTTCCAGGCTGATTTCACATAGCTTAAGGCATTTTAAATTCCAGCCAAGCTGGCATCCTAGCTTTCCTCCAAATTTCTGTTTCCATCTTCCATTCCTTGGCTATCCCTGGTCTGGCATGTACTCCCTCCTCTCCTTCAACTCCTGGAATCTCTAGATTCCTGCTGGACTCAACTGAGGGGCTGCCTCCCCTTTCACGTTGGGGATTGTTTTCTGCCACCTCAATTTATCGTGTGTTTACTTATCTGTGCACATGTCACACCTTCCCCAATAGAATGCAAGTTTCTTGAGGGCAAGAACAATTCTCTTCCCCCCCCCCTTTTTAGTATCAGTACCTAGCACATAGCAGGGTCTTAATGTTGAATAATTGAATGAATGTTGTAAAAGGGATTCTTCTTACAAGTTGGACAGGATGAACCCTGAAGCCACTTCTAGCTCTGAGGTTCTATGAAAATCTAGATCATTTTCTCTTACTGTTAAGCCAGTGGATTTTGGCTACAATTTGGATCTTGGAGTACATTTAAATTAAGTGGAGTTGTGACTTTAAAAAAATAAATTGCTCTGACTTATGTAGCCAGTAAATAAATATAAAAAGTTTCTGTGCCACTTGGGAGTACCCTTCCACCAACATGTATGCCCCAAACAAGCTCACCCCAGGCTCTACTAACTCTGTGTTTCCATATCCATTCCAAATTGTAGCTCATAAACTCCCGCCCATGTGTTTACTTTTACTAGTCAGACCAAGGAAGCAATTAATTCAACTCAAAGGCATTTGATAAAATAGCAGTGAGAAAAGTAGCACTAGACCATTTCCTCCATAAGCCTAGGGCTCACTCTCTTACAAATACACACATCATTAGTGAGGCAAATGAACACGTATTCATGGAATGTATGTGGCCAGAATGAACATAGGGAGGGGTGTACACATGGGAAGCATGTGGCCAGGGCATAAGTGGAGAGGGGTAACTTGTAAATCTACCACTGTAGGGCTATGGGTCCACATACAGCAATATCTAGAGAACAGGGCTTTGAACTTTGCTAGCCCTGGGTTAGATACTGGTTCAAACCCTGCCTCTAACACTATCTTGGGAGGGAGGGGTTAGGGAGCAATAAAAAATTAACACCACTTCCAGTGCTTTAAATAGCATTGGCAAAGGGAAAGGTGGGGAAACATTTCAGAGCCAATGATATAATCATACTGCACCTGTTCGTGCTGATTCCCATTCTCCACTAGGACTCTGTTGGTCATGTTAAACATGGTATGTAGATTGACAATTCTTGCTTCCTGCTGGTCTTACACGGCTGATGCTAGATGGTGCTTCACCTGTCTTGCCATCTCTGCAGGTCACTACCAAGGAGAGCTACTCTGAGCATAAGATTCTCTCTGCTTCTAGATTCAGCTGGAGTCCTCAGTTGAGGCACTATCCCTTTCTTCATAAGAGGAATAGTGGACGCTACCTCTTCTCTTTTAACTTAAAGCCCAGAGACCTAGCTATCACACTTTTCAAAAGTGCTACAACTAGGGGAAAACCCTTAACAACTTTTTCTCCCATGCCTCAATTTTCAAAGCTTTGGCTATAATAGACATTTCTTCTTCAAAAATTATTCTTCATCCCAAGAGCCAAGTCCTTTGGAACATAGAACAGCCTTTAGTGGAAAAAAAATGCGCACAAACTTAGAGTTAATTTTTAATCTCCACTTCCAGCTCACCATTGATGGAATGTCAGAAATGACCCCAATGTCAGAAACCTCACTCTGACTTAGGGTTAGAAATTCCTTGTTAGGGGCAGCTAGGTGGTGCAGTGAATAGAGCACCGGCCCTGAAGTCAGGAGGACCTGAGTTCAAATCTGACCTCAGACCAAACACTTGACACTTACTAGCTGTGTGACCCTAGGCAAGTCACTTAACCCCAATTGCCTTAAAAAAAAATAATAAATTCCTTGTTATTCTCTGTTTAATGTCTAATTGCTATACTATACCCAATCAATATTAGCTTAGAAGATGCCCTCCCAACAAACTGCCGAGGGCTCTTTGGGTCTGAGGTCCTCTAGTTTTCTCAACCCTAAGATTCTTTTTGATTTTCCAAGCAAAGAAATGTAAGGGAAAAGCACAAGAAAAGAAGCCAAGTGCTGGATCAAGGTTATTATCTTCCAATTGCTTACCACATTCCTGATACATGTGTATATATATATACACACATATATATATATGTGTATATATATATATATATATGTGTATATATGTATATATATATGTGTGTGTGTGTGTGTGTGTGTGTGTGTGTGTATAGATATAGATATAGATACGTATATAACATAGCCCTATACATAGAGCCAATAAAATGTCTGAGACTTTCTAACATTCTGACATAGAATGTCAGAGCTGAAATGAACCTTAAGAACCATCTAACCCAATCACATTTTTAAAAAAATTATGGCAGGAAACATATGATTACATTGACTTGTGATTACATTGTTGTAAGGAGCCTCCCAGCAAAAACCTTCCTCTCCCAATGTAAAGAAGAACCTGCTCTTCCACTTTTCATTTTAGATCATTGCCTTCCTTATATGATTTTATTAAGGTGGGAAAAAAAACCAAGAATCTTATTTAGTGTAATAATGAGTTCTGTAGAAAGACAGCCAGACAAATGGATTTAGATTAATTGCAATGGCTAGTCTTGGCCTCTGAGAGCAGGAAGTAAAATACACTTTCCTCCTCTCAGTAGAAAAGGAGGGGACTTTAAGATTGGAACATCACTCACATTATTACAAACAGTAGTTTTTATAGCATTTAAGAATTGGAAGGGACCTCGTAGCCATCCAATCAATCCATACCTGAAAAAGAATCCCCTTTAAAGCATACAAAGAGACAAAGCCAAGATAGTGGAGTAGAAGGGAGCAGTGTGGTTCAGCCACCCTTCACCACTACATGACTCAACCTCGACCACCAACTACCATATAATTCAGCCTTTTTGTCAGGGTCATTCTGATTCAGATCCCTGTGGGAGGGAGCTTTAGTGGATCTCTAGTGGAAGAAAAGGACCACAACATGATCACTCTAAAGAAGAGGGTCTCAACTCTATCTCCAGAAGAGGGGCAACCTCAAAATCCTGGGCAAAATAAAGGCCCCATCAGGAAGAAAAGGGCTTCAACTCAGTCTGGTCCTTGGAGGAGGGGGAACCTTGATGTGTTGGGAGGAAAGGGAAGGGTGAAGGAAAGTGTCTCAGTGTGATCCCTAGGGAAGGAGAGATCTTGGACTCCCAGAGCAAAAGAAGGGCTTTGTCCCTCACGGGCCTTTACAGCAGTCCCTAAAGGCTTCCTGATAAAGGAAAGCTCCTTCCTCCAAGGAAAAGATCTTCTATAGATAAACAGGGACCTGTGTCTCAGGTCCCCCCACAAGGAAAGGGCTTCAGCAAGATTACTTCAGGGGCAGCTAGGTGGTGCAGTGAGCACTGGCCCTGGATTCAGGAGGACCTGAGTTCAAATTTGACCTCAGATACATAACACTTAACCCCATTGCCTAACCAAAAAAAAAAAAGAAAGAAAGAAAGAAAAAGAAAAAAAGAAGAAAAGAAAGATTACTTCAGATGCTCTCTTAAGAGATCTGCAACCCTGCTGCAGGCAAGTAATAGGGCCTCAACATATAAAAAAATGGGGAGGGGGAAGAGAGAAAGAGAGAGAGAGAGAGATGCCCAAAATACAAACCCAAAAGAGAATAACTCCAAAACACCTACAAGTAAAGCCTCAGAGAAAAACACAGTTTTCCCATAAAAGCAATTAGAATTCCTAGAAAAAATAGTTTAAGATGATATCATAAATGAAATGAGTCACTGAGGAAAGAATTGGAAAGGAAATTAGAGCAATGGAGGAAAGACTTGGAAAGAGAATTAACAGCTTAACATAAGAGGTACAAAATCTTACCCAAATAACACTCTCTAGAAATTAGAATGGATAAAATGGAAGTTTGGAAACAACAAGAAATATTAAAACAAAGTTTAAAAAAACTTGAAAAAATAGAAGAAAATGTGAGGTATGTCATATCAAAAACAACTGACCTGGAAAATAAATGAAGGGAAGATAACTTAAAAATCATTGAGCTACCTTAATGGCAAGACCAAAAAAGAAGAAGAAGAAGTTTGATATCATAGTTTAAGAAATTACAAAAGAAAATTCCTCAGACATTTTGGAACAAGATGGCAGAATGAAAATAGAAAGAAACCATCAATCACTTCCTGACAGAAATCTTCAAAATGAAAACTCTTAGGAATGCCTTTGCCAAAATTCAGAACTTTCAGATCAAAGAAAAAATACTTCAAAAAGTAGCTGTGTGACCCTGAGCAAGTCGCTTAACCCCAATTGCCTTAAAAAAAATACTTCAAAAAGCCAAAAATGAAGAATTTAAGTACAAATAAAACAGAATTGCACAAGATTTAGTAACTACTACTATAAAGGAGACGGAGTATGTAACTTGATATTCCAAAAGGCAAAACTTACAGGCCTATAATCAAGAATAACAAAAAATAAGTTGGCTATAGGCCTATAACCAACTTAACAAAAATGAGTGTAATCTTACTGGAGTAGGGGTAGGGGAATGGATCTTCAATGAAATAGATGACTTCCAAGGATTCCTAATGAAAAGACTAGAGCTGAATAGAAAC